TCCCTTGAGGCCCTTCTGGATGTTGCAAGGTATTCTCCAAGATCCTGGGATGATGACTGCAATGACTCTTCGTGGTTTGCTCCTCCACGTTGACCTCGGTTGACGAGATCATTACGACTACCTTCGATTTCTTTCTTTCCTTGTTCAACCCTTCCTCATGGTGGGTCGTTTCATACTCTTCTGGGTGGGTAGTCAAAGTTTCCCCAAAATGTTTGGTGGAACCTTCATTCTGCTGGGCTGGGTAATCGGTAGGACACCTTGTCTCCGATAAGGAGGGCGTTGAATGTCTTTCCGTCTGCATCTTGACCTCTTCAGGGACGGAGGACCAAGAATGATTCCTATTTCCGGTACCCTTTAACTCTTCGTTGATCTCTCCTGAAAACTTATCATTGTTGGTCAGGGTCGTCAGGGATTCGTCACGAGGTGGTTGTCTGCCCACCACCTCCGGGATGTCCAAGGTGAGCTGGACCCTTATGGAAGCTGCCGGCTTGTCAGGACCATCCACAGGACTTTTCTGCTCCCTCCGAGGAACATCTGACGGCTTCTCCGATCTCGGAAAAACGTCATCACATAATTCCTTCAAATGACTCAGCGCCGTCTCAGTCCTCGCGCCTTTGTGCTCAACCCCTTCACTGACTGTATTCTGCCTCCTCGAACAATGTTCCAGGATTTTACCCTTCAGGTTCAACTCTTTAGCATGGACCACTCCATAAAGCGGCACTTGCTTCGGCCTGAGTCTTTTCCTTTTTCCCTTGGAGTCGCCTCCTGAAGAATGGAAGACGTTCACCTTCGGGATTCTGTTCAACATCATCGCAAAATTGTGCATCATTGTGTTCTGACTAGGTCGCTTGTTCCCACCTTCGCGGTGATCCACCTTCTTCTCGTCGTTCGCTTCCTTAAGCACGTCCGTAATCTTCGCGAATTTCTCTTCTATCTGCTTGTCGATCTTCTTCTCGGCGCCGTTTTCCTTCGCGAAGTCCTCGCCGTAAGCCTCGGAGTGAAAAGTCCCATCGTGAGGCTTCGGAGATGATTTTCGATGATTTTGGATTGATGGACCGGACCTTTTGTCGCGGGAATACTTCCCGTTCTCCAAAATGGCGGACTCCTTGTTGCTAGAGTCTTTGGCCCTTTCCCCATGTTTCCCGTAATCGATCTCCAGAAACACGTAATCTTGATCGGTCGCGGAGATCTCCTGGTCCTCTGATCTTCTCTCGGCTATCACCGTCGCTGATTGGTCGTGATAACGAATGTTACCTCTAACCAAGTCGACGGAACCTGCCAACACTGTCACGGGCTCGTTTCCTTCACCCTTTTCCGGCAGATCTTCCTTGTCATCTATGACGTTCTCCATTTTCGAATTAACAGCTGATCTTCTTTTATGCCTTTTTGAAGCGCCGTAGGATATCTCCGCGTTATCAGAGACCTCTCTATCTATTCTTGAGGACCTTCCCTGATTAGGGGAACGTAGGGATCCCATCTTACTCCGATATTTCGGAATCCCTTCGTCGAGCTCTCCCTCGCGTCGGTCTCTTATCCAGGATTCATTCTCCTTATCAGATCGGAATTTCGTTTCTCTCCGATTATTTGAATCCCAGGATCTACTTCTTCGAGTCCTGCCAAAGGATTTCAATGTTCCTTCGGATTTTCTATTGCGACTCGTAGACCCCCCGGGTCTCTTTCCCGTTTTGAAAGAGCGCCTTCCCTGGGCTTTTTCAACTTCTTCATTTTGGATCACTTTTGAACGAGCTATGTCGCTCATCTCTTCAGGATCCGTGGAATGGATTATCCTGCGAAGTTTCGGCTTCTCCCTGGACCTTTCTGGGCGGAAGAAATTCCAGGCTTCGAGGTCCTCTTCAAGGTTTGAGTCTCCTCTCTTCGCTGACATCCCCGAAGATGTCCCCAGAACTTCTCTTCCTCTATTCCGAATAACTTGTTTTCCGGGATTTTCATAGAGAAAGGTCCTTTTATGATCCTCTTCCTTCCCATTTAACTGGTCTCCATTTGCAGAAGATTCGGACTTGTCAATCTTCGACTCCTGTGTCGTGACGAATAATGGGATCTCGGCTTGATCATTTACCAACTTCTCATGATCGTAATCCAGAGATCTTAAAATGGTTCGCCTAGTTCCCCTAACATTCCCTAGCCCTACATTAATTTTCTTAGGCTCTTCCGAAAACCCAGCCAGACCTCTGGTAGACACTTCAACATGCAAACCAGAACTAGAGTCTTTATCTCGAGATTGGATTTTTGGTCCTTGTCCGACGCGATGCATGGATCCATTAGATCCTTCGATCTCGTTTCCGGATCGCACGACTTTCGCCAAGAGCTCGATCACATCCTCTTCTGTTTCCCTTTCCTCCGGATCTCCTGGTCTAGCTAAAATGATCCTTGTGAAGTTCATACGTTTCGTTGTCAACCTCGTACCATTTTTCAGATCTGGGTGGACTCGATCGTTTACAAGCTCCTGCCTTAGAATCACAGGTGATCCTTGATGAGCAGTGGTTCCCTTAAAAGGGTCCTCCATTTTGGAGAACAAATTGTCGCAAGAGTCGTTCTTCGTCGTCTGGTTCACATCTTGAAGGATGGTACTGGTCCCTATCGAAAAGCCGATACCAACCGACACTACAGTGATAGCATTGGATGACATGTTTCTTCCTGGAGAAGATCCCGTCGTACCTGAAGAGCACTCCTCGTCATCGGTCTTTCCACTTTCCCTAGCTTCATGACTTCGACCATCCTCTAAACTCGGTTTCAGAGTTCTCGTTGAAGCTTCCGTCGATGACTTCAGTTCGGAGGTAACCTTTTCCCCGGGCACCTCCGCCAGGACGAGGAAATTTCCCCTCGTGCTATCATGTCCTGGAGAAGATCCCGTCCTACCTGAAGAGCACTCCTCGTCATCGATCTTTCCACTTTCCCTAGCTTCATGACTTCGACCATCCTCTAAACTCGGTTTCAGAGTTCTCGTTGACGCTTCCGTCGATGACTTCAGTTCGGAGGTAACCTTTTCCCCGGGCACCTTCGCCAGGACGAGGAAATTCCCCCTCGTGCTATCAGGCCTTACCCTGATGAAGTACTCGCCCGGATGCTGGGTAAAACCCGTAGCCATTTCCGAATGTTCTCCCGGGATTTTGCTGAAATCTTTCCGTAACTCTTCCTTCTCCTTCCTCGAATTGAAGTACCTCTGGTACTTCCTCCCCTTTTCTCCCGGTCTGTTCACCAGGTTTCCTGGGATTCTCCACCTTTTCCGCTTATCTTTCCTGTCCCTCATCTTCTTGAAAGCCTCGTACTCCTGCTCCAGCTTCAGCAATTCCGCCGTCAGGTTGGCGTCCTTCAAACCTATCAATGATCTACCTAGATGCTCATCTTCGAGGTTCACTCTCCCCTGAACACTTCTTCTACCCCCGGATGTTCCGCGTCCTTGGAACCTTCTCGGATGATTGTACCTCTCCATCAGCGCCTCGTTACGAATCGCTTCGATATAAGGCTCGATCTTTCCTTTCGTTTGGGAATTCCCGAACAGGGCGTTCTTCAGGACCGGAGATAGGGACTCTTCAAGGAACTCTACCCCTGACTTCCGCTCGTTCGACCTTCCCTTTTCCGGGTTCCTTGCGGAAATCGACCGCAATCTCTTGGACTCCACGGAAACGTCCTTATCACTCCTCTTCATTTCGCTCTTGATACCAGACAACTTCATTATTTCCATATCCAAATGATCTTCCGACTTCGCCGGGTTTTCCCTTTCCTCGTGTTTCACTTTTTCGTTTCCTGTAAGCTGTGATTTCTCGTCCCTCCTGTCGAATTCTTCGACCTCGTCTTCAGCTTCGCCCTCGATGGATGATAAGTCTGCCTTCGAGCTCTTATCAAATTTATCCCCCTCGTCCACTAATTTACCACTTACAGTTTCTTCAGCTGATACAGGAAGATCGTCTACAGGGTTTCCGTTGCTGAAGAAACTGCCGTAGGAATTTCCGGGGTGGACATTGTTGCAAGGCTTAACTACCTTTGGTCTAATTGTCGCTTTCATTTCCATACTCTGATTAATATGTTTCGGACTTTGACGATCGGCGTTTACTTCTGGGTCGCAGGAACAACAAAATCCCTAAATTAATATCCAAGTTAAATAAACAGCTGATCTAATGGTAAATTAACAAGGAATATATGTGCGTGTCACACTTTTCAAGAAAATTCCTCCATCTTGGTTAGACAATTATAATAAAAAATAATTATCAATCTAGGTTTTTTATCATTGGCATAAACATCTTACTTGACTGAAAGGCACCGGCTCTTCATGATACAACATTTGCCCACAAGTTGGATTTTCTAATCCATTGTTACATCCGGTGTAGTTGGCCCTTTTCTTGTTAATTACTTCTTCGTGTGCTTCCCCGTTAACAATCTTGAGAAAAACATTAGTCGGTTTATATTCTTAATGGCAGATGAATAATCAACTCGATTATTAAACGTTTTGTCCCATGGTTTAGGAATGAGAAGAACTTAGGTATTACCGATAAGAACTGCTCACCTTATCAACGGAAATTTATTATATAGAGTTGTTCTTAGGAAGGTGTGAAACTTTTTGAATAATTGTTATTTACCACCTCGGAAGCTAACTAAAATCACATTTTCAAAGTCCTACAATAGGTATTTTATCAACCGCATTGCAAAACACTTTTTTGGTCATTAATTATATAAATAAAGTAAAACTGCACGAGTTTGAAGTATTTAAATTAATATAAACCGCTAATAAATTCTAAACATTTGAACTCCTTTTTATTTATTAAGAACGTTCTCTTTCCTTTTACCGACTATCGGCAATGATGTAAAAAATTGTATGACAGAATTGAAGACATTCTTTGATTTGTTTATATATATATACGTTTAAGCAATTCATATGAATGCGTAAAGTACTCAGGTTAGTATATTATTTATTAAAGTGTTCACTCTGTTTTATTATCTAATAGTCAGTTTATCAGTTGAGGGCATCCTCCGTCGGTAATAATCTATTCACTGGAGTTGACGCACTGATTGTTGGTATATTTGTTAAAAGTGAACAATTGGATACTTACATTTTGAAACTTGAGACCGTACAATTGTAAAACTGGCTCTTGTCGAACTTTAACCACAAAAGGGTTAAGAAGTCGGGCTTTATGCATCGTGACAGGATCTAAAACGTGATCCACCACGACGAATTCTTCCTGAGTCTTCGTCTACATCATAGCAACAAATTCATCAATAAAGAATTTACACATTAATCCCAAATTATAATTAACTTAAGATATGGGACATACTGGTGGAGTATGTCATTTAGTACAATACCCAATATAATTCGACATAGCTGTCAATATAAAAACGAACGTCGCCATCGTATTGAAAAAAAACTTTTTTACCGACGTCGATCAAGTTCCTCGACTGTTTTGATGTAAAAGTGGCATCGAAGAGGTATTGTTTATGACATTTATCTCCGAACTGGGTTTATCGAATCATATTAAACTTTAAACCGTGAATATGGAGGCTATAAAGAAAGGTCCTCATGCAATGTCAATTTTTAAAAAATTTGTTTAGAGGTACTTAAAAAATGTTGTATGAAAAAATGAAATTTCATGACTGTCAGGACCTTCTTTACAGACTCTATATTCACGATGTAAAGTTTGAAACGATTCGTAGCACAATTCGTAGAAAAGTTTCATGAGCGATTGACTCTTCAGATGACACTTTCACATCTCCTTAAGGTGATATGAAAGGATCATTCTATATATATAAAATATTAAATTTATACAACTTTTCCCTAAACTGGGTGCACCGAGTAATTTGAAACTTTTACATGTTACTATGAAGGCTCTAACGAAGAACGCGATGCCCGTGAAATTTCATTTTTCAGAAGAAAATGTGATTTTGGTTATAGTCTAGGCTAAATAAAAGAAACATTTTTTTCTTGACAAACTAAAATTACAAGAGCATTACGTTCTTCCTTAGGGCCTCCATAATCAGGTGTTAAAACTTGAAATAATTCGGGCACCCAGTTTGAATAAAAGTTTTATCAATATTTTGACGTTTTTATACATACCATGACCCTTTCATATCACCTTAAGTTCCCTAATCTTTGAAGCCTCCCTAAAAACCGAGCTGTAAAATGTACTCCTCGTGAAGTATTCGATTCCTACCTTTCCAATATTATTAAATTTCATCGTGACGATCAGCTTCCTTCGACAACTGCGCACTTCAGAGTGATGAGCTGGTTCATCCCGATCGAAGCCATGAAATTCCAATATATCCTGGCTACGACCAGCACTGATATTGTAGCCATTTCCATGTACTGGAATCACGGGTCTAAGGGAAGGAATTCAATCAGATGCACCGGTACTATTACGACCTCGTTAACCCCTTAACTAGTACGCTCGAGTTAATAATAATAATAATTTATATATTTAATTTAATTTTAGATAATAATAATTTAATTTAAGTTAATAAGAAACAGGCCAAACTGTGCACACTCGAGATAATTCAAGCGGCGTTGTACTATATGCTACTATAATTTTTCACCCTCGAATATAATCGAGAATTTTATTTTCTTGCCAAGACAATGTTCTAGTGTTTTTTTACATGAAAAAAAATTTTTTTTTTAAATCTGTGCGTTAAGGGGTTAATAAAAAACGGTATAGTACTCGTAACACGTTGCGTTACATCCTGCTCGGCAAGAGACTGCAATTAATTCGGGATGAGAAGATGAAATGATAAGGGGATGAAAATTACGTACGTCTCTTCGTGGGATTTTGGACAGCGTACAAGAACCGCTCTGATCTCGATGGACGGTTCTTGGCCGATCGGAAGACCCTCTTCCGGCGAACGGCGGTGGCTCCGGGACCCTGAAGAAGGGCCCTGAAGATTCTGATTGCGGGTGACCCGTGTAGGACAATCGGGGTTCCTCGAGGGGTGGAAACGCGGCGTGTACTCGAATTCCGATACGTAGGGGATGAAGTGTGCCATGGCCATGGCAGGATAATAGCCGATCAACGAGAACAGCAGCTGGCATAACCCACGTACCAATGTTAATCGATACCATATTGGTTCACACAACAACTATAGACTGCGAATATTGCTCCGATATTGAAACATAAAAAGGTTCGTTTACCGGTAGAATCCTCTTATACAATATGTAGTTAATTTTGCAGACGTACCATAACAACATACCGCATGCCTAACCACATTTATCTTATATCGTACCAATATATTGAATGTAATGTTTACATGCTAGTTTAGCAAGTCCTCTTGTAATAAATTTAGAGATCGGGTAAATGCAACTGCTTTAATGAGAGACACGAACGTTGCTATTACTATACAACATCGAGCCTTGTAATGTATTTAAAATGACACCGCTGTGTATATGCAAGGTATTGTTATATATCTCAAATTACAATATCGCGCGTTATATAAACGGGGAAAAAGGGAAGTGCTAAAGTTCTCCGTGTTCCATAAAAATACAGGACATCTCCGATGTTGTAAGTGCAATGGCGGACATGAATGCCTCCCCTGCAGATACGGCATCGCCTGTGCAGGATGGGAGGGCATTGATGTCTCCCAGTGTACATTGGCGGGCATGAATGCCTCCCCTGCAGATACGGCATCGCCTGTGCAGGATGGGAGGGCATTGATGTCTCCCAGTGTATAGTACACTCCGGTATAACGCGGTTAATACGTTACACGCTTCATGAATTCCCGTTATAGAAAATCCGGAATTTTTCTCGTATAACGCGCATAATGTGTTTTTTTTTTTATTTGGTGTGTTGTACGAAAATCGCGTTATACGAAAACAGTGGTCCCTATATCTTTGAATTTTTCTCGTATAACGCGCATAATATGTTTTGTTATTCGGCGCGTTGTAGAAAAAATCGCGTTATACGAAAACAATGGTCACAATATCCTTTGCGCGTTATACGGGAATTTTTCTTGTATAACGCGTGTAATATGTTTTGTTATTCAGCGCGTTGTAGGAAAAATCGCGTTATGTGAAAACAATGATCGTTTTCTTGTATAACGCGTGTAATATGTTTTGTTATTCGGCGCGTTGTAGGAAAAATCGCGTTATGTGAAAACAATGATCGTAAAATCTTTGGTGCGTTATACGGGAATTTTTCTTGTATAACGCGTGTAATATGTTTTGTTATTCGGCGCGTTGTAGGAAAAATCGCGTTATACGAAAACAATGGTCGCAATATCTTTGGCGCGTTATACGGGAATTTTTCTTGTATAACCCGCGTAATATGTTTTGTTATTCGGCGCGTTGTAGGAAAAATCGTGTTATACGAAAACAGTGGTCGCGATTTCTTTGGCGTGTCATAGGAATTCGCGTCATACTGGAATCTACTGTAATTGCGTTTCCGTAGTGGAGTACCTGCAAAGTTATCCAAAGGACGTAAAAGATGCAGCGGTCACCCGGTGACATGTTAGGCCATCTGACAGGACATCGTAGCCAGCCGTCCGACTCATTTCAGATGCAGATCGATTTCCAGCCTCGCGGGACTACAATATCCGTGCAGGAGTACAAGATCGGGCATATGGGGACCGGCGAAAGGGTTGAAGACGGGAGGGCGAGTCGAAGGAGACCGAAGAAATTGAAGAAGTCTTCTTCCGGGTCGTCCTCGCGACGACCGCCTCTGGATCCGATCGAGATCAGCTGCTAGGACCGACTTCCGCAAGGACGGGAGATATCACTTATCGGTTCTGGATCCCAAGAACAATCTCGTGGTCCTTATTATTCAAAATCTCGAGACTCGAGATGGACTCCGACAGCAAAAAAGAGTTCCGCTCACATGACAACAAGATGCCTATCCGATGCTCTCATGTTCTCTCCTTCTCGAGGTGGTCCATTGATTGATCGATTTGCGTCGATTGATCGATGGAACGGATATTATAATTTAATTATAATTTCTACCATCTAATTGAAATTTTTCTAAGAGATACCGGGAATAAGAGCAATTGTTCATTAGCAACAACTCCTTCTCTGCTGCGTTAAACGTCGCGGTAAATACTTTCGGAGGTTTCCATTGTATAAGAAATTATTTAAACATCATCCAAGTATTAAAACGATTATCACTAATCGTATCCCTGCCTCAATTTTCTGTTAAAAATTAACTTTTGGCATGTTATCAAGTTAAGATATATTAAACTAAAACCCGTTGCGCATTATTGTTAACGGTAATACATGTCCTTCACGCTAAAGGGAAAAATGGATAAAGGAATAGATGTGCAATTAGCGTCTCCATTTGCTACTTTTGCTATTTCTTTGTCTGAAGGGAATTACGTTAATGAGTATCTCTTAACGTGATCGAAAGTAGGGAAAAGACGCGAGGGACAAATGTATAAAAAGGATGCGACGTCACTAATGCCGTGCCTTTATATATAAACCATATTTATTTGCCATGCGACTTATCAGCAATAATATCTTCATAGACTTAGATTAACAACGGTGTTTTGTAATTCACGAGTTTATGCTTTCGTTTCGAAGGGACCGGCGTGTCTTTGAGCGAGACCATTTGATCGTGCCCGACGTTCCTTCAGGATGATCAGAATCGGAAGGAGTCTTGGTACTCGTGCTCGCGACAAAAGGCAAAAGAGGTAGAGGAACAAACGGGAAGGAGACGGGAGACGACCGGGGAGGAAGAGGGAAAGAGAGCCCCTTCGAACGCGTAATGCTTAAGGATATCACAGTTCGCGATGTCTTGCTTGAGTGAACGAAGAAAATGTAAAGAAACTTTAACGGTGTTACCCCCTAGTGGTCGGCATCGACAATTACCTCGGAGGGTAACAATTCGATTCGTCCTTCCCTACCTCGAGCTCGATCTCCCAGTCCTGAGCTCGCAGTCGAGACACTCGACGAACATGTACTACGAGTCTGCAAACCGAACGGTCAAAGCGAATAGGTCAACTACGTGTACTTATTGCTCTCCCTATGTTACTCTAGAACCTCCTAAAACTTCATAATAAATTTAACATTAATACCGCTCGGACGTCGCGCTCTGCCGGCGACAGCCCCTCTCTCTCTCTGCCATTAGACTTTGAAAAACGCTATAACAAGCTTGTCGGATTTAAACTTCGCGACCTAATCCACGCAAAGGTGCCAGACCCTTCCATCGGTGTCCGCAGGACGAGGGAAACTCTATCTCGATAAACGACCTCCGAAAAACTCTCCAAAACGAGCCCCTTCAGAGGACTCGTCGGCTGTCCGCTCCTCCTCGGCTCGATAACTAAAACATCAGAATCGTCGTATTAGAATCCCAAAGAGACCTCTAGTTTGAAATTCACTCGCCTCCGCGCGCATTTCAATTGCGAATAATTTATTTATTCTCGGCGGGACTGGTAGGTTAGCACCTCCTCTCTAGGTGGCGCTTCTCTACCTTTTAAACGCCATGTCGATAGGAAGGTTTTAGTTACCCGTATTTCTGCACTTCGACGGTGAATCGCTTTGATAACATTCATTTTATATACTATTACTCTCCAATGCTACTCATTGGAGGTGCTTCGGCGAACCTCTGTCGAGCCTTCGATGAACAAAATCCATTTTAAGACGTGATTCGGTCCTCACTTCGCTATCACCAGGTACTGCACTTCTTCGTAGGGTTCATCCTGGCGCCGGCAGGACAACGAAACGCTTCGGCGAAGGCTGGGGAGTTCATCATGATACCGTTCACCCTGAACAATGAAATAACCGTCAGGATGTGACAATGTTAACTGCATGTTAGAGGCACGTTAAGGTGATATATACATAACAAAAAGCCGAAATATTTATCAAAATCGGTGCACCGAATCATTTGAAACTTCACCGCGAAATTATGGAGATCCTAAGGATGAACGTGATGCTGAGGAAATTTCATTTTTCGAGAGAAATGTTTGTATTCATCTCGGACAAGATCTAAAAACACATTTCTTTTTTGCGAAAAATATAATTTTACGAACATCGCGTTCTTCCTTAGGGCTTTCATAATCACGTGTTAAAGTTTCAGATAATTCGGTGCACCCAGATTAATTAAGATTAATTAATTAAGAAAACAATTAATCCTTCGGATGCCACTTTCACGTCCTCTTAACACTAAAATCCGTTGACGAGTTTCGGATTTCATATATATGTAATTATAAATATGAAGTAATAATAATTATATATCTGATTTGATATTATGTAACCATATAATATCGCATTATTATGTATAAGTTTATAGGGTATAATTAAATGGTTTCTAAATTAAATAGAGTTTTTTTAAGAAAATGTCGATTCGCCCGTCAATTTGACGGGTGTCCGTAGAAATAGGTATATAAGAAATGTTGTGTTAATTAATACCTCTCAGGAAATGGAGAGTGATAGTCTAGCTCGACGGAAAGAATGTAGGCCTCGGCAGTCATGTTAGAGCAGTATGTCTGTGGGCAAGGATGTAAAACGTTAATAACCCAGATAGACAAAGTGATGCAAATTTTGCATCACTTTTTTTTCTTATCACCTGGGCAGCGCTTATGAAGAATAGCTGGCTTGGACGAAGTCCTTCCAGCCCTGGCAGGCTCCGATCCTTTCCATTGGTCAATGTGTGCCAGGTTTGGTAAGAAATCTGCAAGGCTCCGATGTCAGCCACGTTTTCATTCCTCGTTATGTTCCAGTCAAACTGTAAAAGTCAAAGATCCAGGATATAGAACTCTCTTAAGAACCGACGGAAGCAATCGGAACTCAAGTGGAAACTCGTACTTGAACGTCAACGCTGTTCCCAAAAAGCTTCACTTTTCTCCAAAAACTTCTAGCATAAAGCTTAGCGACGCATTCTATCCTTGATTCTAGCCTCTTCCAAGTTTCTGGCGTTAACCATAACCAGGGATCTTTGTCGAAATCCGGATCCGATGGTTGTCCACGATGATGAAGATCGAAGGCATGCAAAATCTCGTGGCCGATCACCGATCCCAATGTTGCATGTGCGGCATATGCAGGACCTCCATCCCAGGACCAAGACCATGCAGTCATCAGGGTTAGAGGAATCACTAGGAATAAAAAATGATATAAGAATTACGGCACTAGGAATTAAGTATAATATAAGAATAGCGACATATGCAGGACCTCCATCCCAGGACCAAGACCATGCAGTCATCAGGGTTAGAGGAATCACTATCCAACCTGAGACTATTGTATGTTGTTCTTCATAATCAAATGATTATTAACTGCATTGTTTTCAAATCGATAATGATTACATCTATTCGGAATCAACTAAATATTAGTAGATGGTAGAGAAGAGATCTAACCACCTTTCAAAGTTACCGTCACATACGAATACAGTTCTAACTTACCGATGGAGTTCGTGGAGGATTCATAGTAAGCATTCACTGCGTATGGATGGCGCCACCTGAAACGAATACCAACTTCATTCGAAAGAAAACCCTCAGGAGATATTCCAGATATTACTCAGGTTGATATTCCAAAAACAAACAGAATTTTTTTTTATGCTTGGGTAAAACCCAACAAATGTCTCTCTTCCCTGGTTTACCTTTCTCTGATACTCCCTCGTAACGCGTTCCCGTTTATGCTCCGGATTTGTCGAAATCTCCGTAGAACACTTGCAAAAAAATCCTCGTGATCGATGGCGACCTTAAAAGGGATAAACCTTAAGGTAGAAAATAAAGATACCTAACTACCAGATTACTTGAAAATCCGAGTTTACCTCCATCATTTCGCTGTTCAGTAAACTGTCGTTGTAGTAACTCGGCCACACATGAAACGTACCTCTCAGAGCTTTCAATTTCAATAAAGCTTGAGTCCTCGTCCCGTCATCGAGCCAGGACATTACGAGGAGCCTCTCCGCGAGAGTTTCCTTAACTCGTTCAAAAAGTCCCGCCACCTTTAACGGGGACAAAAAACACTTATTAACATTGAAAACGTATCCAACGTTCCGTTTCGTAACGAGTAAAAAGCTATTCTCTCCTCGAAGTTAAACGAGCTTCTCTTCGTATTTAATAGATAAAAGGTAATACAAACTTTATCCGAGGGCCTTCGTATTCTCGTTTAATTTCCGAATCTATTATAGGTTTAGCCATTGCGTGGAAGTAAACGAGGGCTTGCGGATATCTACCGGCAATTTGCCGGGGGAATGCACAGGAGGAACGCGATCGTCAAAGCTTCCGCGGCCATTTTCTTCGATATCGTTAAATTAAGTCTCACACCTGTTGCCGGGTACTACCCAGAAATTCCAACGAATCGATATCGATTGGCTATTAGACCTCGATAGCGCGTAGTTGCGTTCTCACCCGATTGGCTATCGTTTCCAGAAACTCCGAGGTATACTGCCGCACGTAAAGAGCCCCGACGGCGGAGCTGAAGACGTTCCTTGTGAGCTTGCTGCAGGATGCATTCCAATTCTTGCTTGCACTCACGTTCACTACATCGTGCAGCGTGTCTGCTGCATACAGCACCAGAAGTCCGTTGTGAATGACCCTTGAACAGTGACAACAAATTATTGGATTTCACGTAACCTCAAAACTACTTAATTATTTGATAAGTTGCAACAATTACATCAATATTACTCATAAAACATGGTTACGTAGAGATGATATAAGTAATGTAACGTATACGTTGCATGCGTTACCATTTTACAGTTATATAACTTTTTTCTGAAACGAATAACCTGCACATGACATGTCACGTAACCTCAGACCTACTCCATTATATGATGAATTGCAACAATTATATCAATAGTACCCATGAAACATAGTTACGTAGAAAGGATGTAAGTAATGTAACGTATACATTGCATGTACGTATAATTTATACTACTATTTTTTACGCAGTTATATAACATTTTTCTGTCGGTAACATGTTATGTGTTATTTTAATACCGTACAATTGGCACATTTGTAACAATGCTGCGGAAGGGAAATAATTTGGTTTTATATAATGTATCTTTTCAATAACTTTCATTATATATCATGTTATTTCGGTTTAACGTAATTATAATATAGAGTCCTCGGTGGGTATTAGCTACCAAAATCGGGTATAATAATAATATATAATTTGTAATAAACATAAAATGGTGGAATACATGTCTTATACGCGTAAATGTAGCGAAAATATACAGTAGCCGTAAAAAAAAAACATTAATCAGGCATGATTAATTTCTTTCAATTAACGTAATGTTTTCACGTTAATTAAAAGTATAACTAACGATTATTGACGACTTTTTATATTCCAACTGTAGCATTTGTAAGACGATTGCGATTTATTCCATGTATTTTATAAACGCATTAAATACATGTCTACAAATGTTTAAATGACGTTCATGCTACAGGATTGGAAAGGTAGTTTATATATGTAAAATGGACGAAATATCGTCGTTCAATTACACTTGGAAAGACGTTAAAACATGCAGAACATTTTACCCTGCTTCTAAACCTGTATTTCACTATTTCATGTTTATTTCTTATTCGGTTGGATCTAAAGGTATTGTTAGGAACAGTTTTCGAAGTGAAAGACAAATTGATTTGTTTCCGAGGCTCGAGAAAAATCGCCTCTCCGTTCACCCTGACATTTTATTCCAGCGTTCCTATTCATTGTTACCCTCGGTCATTAACACCCTGGACGCCACATTAAGGGTGTCCATTAAGCATAAGTCGTATAAATTCGTGATTCAAGCAATAACGATATTTCACCGCACATGGAACCATAATGGCGACCCCTTCACCGAAACGCGAATTCGCCCTCCGAGGCGATTTATCATCAGTTTTCCTCGGCTGTCCAGAGCCCGTTCAGATGAGAACGAAAATATCAGTCGGAGCCTCTTCCAATGGTACAATACCCCATGAGATGTGTAATTGATAAATGGCCGGATTGAAAGAAGAACCTAATCCCAAGACCGAGAAAAGACAAGCGAACGGGGTATCCCCCGGACATCTCCCTCTCATTGTCAAGAATTTCAAAGTACCGCCAAATCGGTCACGTGACATAAACTCAGTTGCTCTCAGCAACTAGTACGGATTTCTATTATCAAGTAATAATGAAGAGATCGACGTAAAACCGTCGAAATCCCGTGAATTCGTCATTCTAACGACTCTTTAGGACCAACGTCGCCATCTGTGACGTTTAGCTGCAACTAAATGAATGCTCTAAAGACCCGCCTTAGCCCCGAGACAAGACCAGCATTCTCTTGCGATCGTTGGTGAAAGTATTTTCCATATTTTCCCATCTGACCCTATAATATTCCAATTCGAAGGTATTCTAAATTGTTCGAGCCAGGTCCTGAAACTCTTCATTTTCAATCTTAACCCTCCAAGAAGCGTAAAACATCGAATACGTGCCCGGGCCACGCCATGTTGGTTCTAGTCCATAATAAATAAATAAATTTTCTATGAAAAATTAAATTTCATCAGATTCAGGACGGGCCTCTATATTCACGTGGTAAAATTTGAAACGAGGGCATCCAATTCGAAGATTACTTTCCCCAACGATTTAACTTATATATATATATGCATGAGGTATGATATGAGGGCACCAAAAAACGATTGAAAATTACTTCACAAATCCATTCAGTATAGAATTCTGGACCACATGAAAAATGTTATAATTCAACATATACAGTTATTCCCAATATATATCGCGATTTTCGAAAAAGTGGCTTATATGAGGAGTATATTTATATATGTGCCCATAATTATGAAAGAGGTCTAAGTCAAAATAAAAAAAGAAATGAGTTTATTAGTTATTTCACGCCATATTATTTCAAACGAAATTAATTCAATGTAATTTCGAAACAAAAAATATATGACACTTTCATAATTATGGGCACATATATCAGGCTGACTCTTTCGTATCATCTTAAGAAGTGCAGGGCAAGAGAGGGTGAAAAGGCGCGACGTCACCCCTTCGGTCCCTAGATTCCTCCAATTTCCAATAACGTCCCTCTAGCGTGGAAGACGCATCGGGGTGTCCCGCGGTGTCGGAGCATCCTGCTCGCCAGCCCTGACCGAGATTCCCCTGGGCCCGCGTAGCTATTCGGAGTAATTAGTAGGTTACATTCGGCGCCGTGCAGAGGGCGACAGGGGCGACGGGCGCGAGAGGAGCAGGGCCGGAAGAGCAGATCTGGTGGCAGCAGTCAACGGGTATGGTAATGCCGACCTCGTAGGCGACGCGCTGTGCCAAAAGTGGCATTTGGCTGGCGTATTGTGGGTCACGTTCTATCAACGCCATTCCGTCCCTTTGATATCGAGCGCGGCGAGCCCGGTTGCGACCTGCAGCTTCCCGAGGCTGATCCAGGATTTCCCGAGGACATTCCGTTCTCCGAATGCTTCCGGAAGTTGCGCCGCCCAAGGCCTCTGCACGCGTGCCAAGGCGGGTCCGATCTAATGGACCCGATCGGATACTTCTTTTCACCACTCCCAGGGGATCTACTCATCTGGGAGAATTTTCTAATTGTCGCTTTAGAGTTGTTACGATTATCCTACTGTATGTATTGTTGAGGAGCCGGATATACGGAGGGCTATGTCGCGCGCACACATTCTTCAGATGTCATGTAAATGTTCTTTAGATGTCATGTAAATGTTCTTTAGATGCCATGTAAATGTTGTTTAGATGCCATGTAAATTTTCTTTAAATGTCATGTAAATGTACGTCAGATGTCATGGGGAAATGTTTTAATTATCGCTTTAGAGCTGCAATTATTATCCTACTGTATGTATTATTGGGGAGCACGGATGCACGGAGTAGCATATCGCGCGCTCACATTCTTCAGGTGTCATGTAAATGTTCTTTAAATGTCATGTAAATGTACGTCAGATGTCATGGGGAAATGTTTTAATTATCGCTTTAGAGCCGCAACTATTATCCTACTGTATGTATTATTGGGGAGCACGGATGCACGGAGTACCATATCGCGCGCTCACATTCTTCAGGTGTCATGTAAATGTTCTTTAGATGTCATGTAAATGTTCTTTAAATGTCATGTAAATGTTCTTCAGATGTCATGGGAGAATGTTTTAATTATCGCCTTAGAGCTGCAACGATTATCCTACTGTATGTATAATTGGGAAGCGTCATTTTACATCATAAGGAAGTATGAATAATAGGGTCCTTATCACCAAATTTCAGGCATAATGATAGTGACCAGTAAAATTCAGCGTATATATACGCGAATAATGCAAATGGGTTAATATTGACCAATCGCCAAGCAGGATTATTCGTCAGTGTTCATACAAACATCCATTACCCGTGTTATCTTGAAGGGAGGCTCAAATATCAATATCAAATTAATTTCATCCTTATTTTAAGCCGATATGAAAGAGTCAGCGTATATACAGGATATAACCAAACTAGTAGTCACGGTTTACACCGCGCTATCCTTATCAAAAAGTAATGAAATAAGATGTACATCATTCCCAGTTATATCAAAGAAAGGAGTAATTATCTAATTTTAACTTTTCTCGCTCCTGGTTCCGTGTAACATGAAATCCTTATCACGCGTTTCGCGTCCCACGGGGGCCTATAAATAAATAAATGTGAAATGTTGCATGAGCAATAATATGGGTACATGTAAATGGGAGCGTCTATCATGCATGTACCTTTATACGCGTAATATCGCGCGATGTACCCCGAGGGCTTCAAGATAGTACTTTCTGATTCCATTTCCGTTGGAGCCTTAAGAGAAGCATTATATGACGGTACATGTAAAGCTACAAAGTCGAGATGACATTTCCCGGTGGCGCGTCAAAGTGAGAATTTCGAACGTCAAAAGACAAGAGGGATTTTTCAAACGACAAAAAGGGGGAAAGAGGAAATCAGATCCATGTAGAGACCCGGGTATTCACAACAGTACCTCCTAAAATGTACCGTAGCAGCACAGAATATTTTATAAACATGTTTTTCCGTAATACCTCCAAATACCTCCAGCGATAGATTTTTTAAGACGTCCTGTAGATTTCACTTTAGGATGTCCAAAATATTCCTTGATAATCTCAATGACATATTCAGATTAAATAATTCAGAAACACGTATCGAAGTGACATTATTAAATTAATAAACATCTAACAAAAATTCATTCTTCACATCAGGATTATTATCGAACACTTCATTTGGTATCGAAGTACACGACCGATTTTTCCAGTATCTCCATTATTTCATTGTGGTAGTAATAAGCGTAATTTTGAATATTTTCAAAACGTCTATTATATACTCGGCAGATAATATTAAGAAAAAAAAAGAAAACCGCAATTAAAATCAACCGAAATCTTTTGTATATCTGTAGGAAAAATATTACGATAACATAGAACATTTTTGTTAACGTTAAATATATAGGAAACATGAGACAAATATTTTGCGTTATTAGGGTAGCCATTAATCCATTGTATTGGTGTAATATTACATCCCCAATATACGTGATATACCACCGCTATATGTTACAATTTCGGTGCATTTTCTGTATACCATATATGTGGGGAATTATTATTCAAAATTGCAGTGCATTCCTGTATGCGCTGTTCGCCGCGATTAATGCATAGATATTAATCATGGCCTACGGCATTGAAATTTCAAACATGGAGAGTGATCGATTGACTTAATTCGCGAGGATCCACCGAGAAAATCTACGCCGAAAACTGTCATCCCCAGGAACAGGACGAATTTAAAAGGGCATCGATTCGCTCCGCTGGAATTAATTAGCATTAACGAGTTGCGCTAAATTACCGGGGAATGTTTGCCCAGGCAAATAACAGAAACAAACGGATGAACGATCGATCGAAATCCGCGCGGCGAATAGCCAAAATTGTTTCGTTCACGGAATCTTCTCGTGAGCCATTCCAAGCGAGTCCAAATGCGGATTCCGATATGCACTTCGATATGCAAACCGCTGCAGTTATTTCGAGGTTAACTTCCCAGTAATGCTCCCCAGTGGATGCGGAAACTTTCCTCTCTACTGCGTATCGAGTATTAATACGGACGATTGTGTCTTAACACATTCGCGGCCGGCAAATCTTTTCCGTTTCAAATACTGACAAGGAAAGTACCTACCCCCTCCGATTTTGTTTCATTTTTAAATATGTTATAGAGGACTAAAATCTAAGGGACCCGTGTTTTTTTTTTATTAGCGGATAAACACTTTAGGGGGTGAAATCAGGCTTCAAGATTGGCCGTACAAGGGGTGAGTTGGCTGTTTCATATAGAAGCACTTGATCGATTTTCATGAAACAACCGTCAAAATGTAGGGAATGAAGAATTATGAAACATGCACTTGGAATTTTTCGAAAAAATTCATTTTTAAGGGGTGACCCACCCCTTTGAATACTTCTTTTACCCCTTACGTGAGCAGTAATTGTTCTATCCAAATGAAACTTGGTTAGTTTATAGACCAGGACAATACAAAATAACTAACTAAGAGGCTACTAAAGGCGTCTTAAATATGTTATAGAGGACTAAAATGTAAGGGACCCGTGTTTTTTTTTTTATCCGCGGATAAACACTTTAGGGGGTGAAATCAGGCTTCGAGGTTAGCCGTGCAAGGGGTGAGTTGGCTGTTTCATATAGAAACACTCGACCGATTTTCATGAAACAACCGTCAAAATGTAGGGAATGAAGAATTATGAAACATGCACTTGGAATTTTTCGAAAAAAATCATTTTTTAGGGGTGAGCCACCCCTTTGAATACTTCTTTTACCCCTTACGCGAGCAGTAATTGCTCTATCCAAATGAAACTTGGTTAATTTATGGACCATAACAATACAAAAAAAACTAAGAGGCTACTAAAGGCGTCCGACGTTTGGTCCAATATTGCCTGCACGGTCAAACGAATTTCGCCCATATATCGAAATGGCTCCGTGTTCAAAGGGTTAATCGATCCCTAGCTTACGGGCAACACCGCGATTCGATATTCAGACGTCCCAGGGACTGTCGGACAATTCGAACAAGAGGCGTTTTATCGACAGCAACGAGATGAACTGGGCCTGGAAAATTGTGACGTCCGCAAAATCGCATTAACCCCCGAAAAAACATTCACTCGGATAGCCCTCCGAGCAGTCGAGCGGCGGCGCGACGAGAAAAACTTCAATACCGAGTTTTTTATAATTAATATCGAACGGTCCCGATGGCGAGGGTGGGCGAGAAAAAGTGGGAGCAGCCATGTCGAATGTTTGCCGGAGAGACCGAGAGAGAGGATGACGCTTCACAGGGAGAAACGTTGGGGATTGGGGGAAACTACCTCGCTCCACGTTGAAATATGCACTGCCAATTAGAGCGAAACAATGGGCGAAAAATTTGTATTGATTGTGCCAGGGCGCTTCCTTGGCCGGGTTTTGCGATGTTTCCTGCCTTTTCTTGTGCAAGGAAGTCCACGTACGTCACGCGATACTCTCCGAATGGTGCTCGAATACCTTCTAATTGGGACTTTTTAACGGCCTTAAGATGACATGAAAGGCGCCTAGAAATTTCATTCGTCGATAAATTAAAATTCATGTATACCTTTTTTCTGGTAACATCATTTTGAATACTCAAGGGAGAACATAAGCTGGCGCGTCCCTTCACCGACATTTATATTTATGTTGAAGTCTTTTACAGTTTATGTTGAGAATTAATCGAACTGAAGGGTCCTATATGTCATTTCGGTAAAATAATCATAAGAAGATTGATGTAAAACTGCCGAAATCCCATGAATTCATTATTCTAACGACTCTTTAGGACCCACGTCGCCATCTGTGACGTTTAGCTGGAACTAAATTTTTGCTCCAAAGACACGCGTTAGCCACGTGACCAACCAGCATCCAAAATCCAATTTTGAAAGTGTCAGGGTAATTCCTAGGTACGAGTGAGTCATGTGTCAAAGTTTTAGACGGTTCGATCCAATACCCTTAAAATAAAAGCGTCTTATTAGAGTCGACTGACTTGAAGGGGGTTCCACTTCGCCTTAATCACTACCATTTACGTACCGAATCAACCCTAACCTAACTCATCGAACGTTGTCGAGGAGAATTCGATGCACTAAGTTAAAGCGTACCTACGTTTGGAAAGTTCGCTTCTCCTAATGAGTCTTTAGTGATAGTGCCGTACCAGTAAACTCGGTCGAAGGAGTAACTTCCGAACATAACCTATCGGTATTCGGAAAAAGATGTATAAAGTCAGCCCTATTCCCGGCCCGAAGTTTAGAGGCTCCCGAGACGCGGCGATCATTCCTCGGAATTTATGCCCCTCGTAATTACATTGTAGATTTATCTGTCTGGTTTTATATCACGCTTACGAAGTTTCATCGACGGCGTTTAAAGGGCACTTAAAATAAGTGCCAGCGGATTAAGCGTTTAACACCCAACGGGTCTCTGCGATCATATCGACCCCGCCAACTCGATGTCACAACTTGAAGAGAAGTACAGAATTTCACGATGAAATTTATTTATCAACATTTAATCCGGCAATACATCGGAGTTTCCTTCGGCCTTTTGTGTGCCAGAGATATGAACTCGGGTGTTCAGGAGGAATTAAGATGATGTGAAAGGCGCTGAGAAACTGAACCGACGTCGATAAATTATAATTCATATACCCTTTTTGGTGGGAACGTCATTTTGAACTATCTAACTCTGTAATATTCCAATTGTTCGAGCTAGGTCCTGGAACTCTTCATTTTCGATTCTAATCCTCCAAGAAGTGTACAACATTGAAAACGTGTTCTGACCACGCCATGTTGGTTTTAGGCCATGATAAGTAAATAAATTTTTGATGAAAAATAAAATTTCATGAGTTTCAGGACTTTCTTTAGATCCTACATATTCTCGCGGTAAATAAATAAATAAATAAATATGCTTATATATATATATATATAAGCTCTTTCATATCACCTTAAGGGCGCACTCTATTTCCAAGCCCTGAACACAGAGGCACCTATCGGAATGACACAGGATTATTTTGAGTGGATAACTCGGCCTTGGGTGTCTTCCAAAATCCCTAATTGCTGCGCAACTCTGCAGCTAGGGAAAAATCCCCAGTACTGGCTCTGGAAGTACAAGGCTAATCTACGAACTTTGTGCACCCTTAGCATAACTAGATTTCGGGACTCCGGCCAAACAGGAGAGTTTACGGGTCGCAGACCGTGTTCTGCATCTCTGAAGATGAACAGCCCTAGCTCTGTTAGTACCCTAAATATGTACAAAGATATTACTAACAATATCCTTAAGGTGAAGCAAAACCCCCGAGAGAAGAATCGACTCGAATGCGTACTTTTTAAGGGCATTTCACGTTAAGGTGATGTGAAACCCTTCGAGAGATTTCATGGATGAAATCCGAGACTGAGAATTTCAAGGCATAGATGAAATCCAAGACTGAGAATTTCAAGGCATGGATGAAATCCAAGTCGCTGGTTTAGAGGACTTACCGGCGTGAAAAACGGTTCAGCAGTTTTCCAAGGCCCTGGAAATATTGCGGAACGGTGACGTAGACGTACAGCTGGTCGTCGACGTCGATTTCTCGGTCGTGGTCGTGGTCGCGACCATGGAGCTGCATACTAACTGGACCCAGCGTAGTGTTCAGAAGCGTCCACCACCTTATCTAACCGATGAACAGAAATTGTAATGATTTTGATCTGAATCATTGACAGAAATTCATGAAAGTTTCGTATAAGAATTTACCACGGGCTTAAGGTGACATGAAAGGGCCATTCTATATACATAAAGCGTGAAAATATTTATAAGACTTTTCTTCAAACTAAGTGCACCCAATCATTTGAAACTTCAGCACGTGGATTAGGAAGGCCCTAAGGAAGAACGCGATGATCGTGAAATGTCACTTTACAAAAAGGACTTTTTCTACTCAGCCTAGACTAGAACCAAGATCACATTTTTTTTTTGTGGAAAAGGAAATTTCATGGGCATCGCGTTCTTCCTTAGGGCCTCCATAATCGCGTGGTAATGTTTGAAATTACATAATGCACCCAGTTTGAGGAAAAGTTTTATAAATATTTTCACGCTTTATGTACATAGAATGATTCCTTTATTTCACCTGAACATATGGACGAGGTTGGATCATGAAGAACTGTTACAATTAATTGTAGATATAAAAACGTAGAAATTGTTACTATCGACCTCGGTCTTCCTTACATGTAAATTATGACTTACATGTAAATGATGACTTACATAACCGAAACTCTCCTGGAGGTGCGTCAGATTGTAAGGAACGAAGGCTCGCTGATCGACGTCCACCCAATTGTAGAGGTCCTTGTGCCTCGGAAGGATCTGCGAGAATAAAAGAATGAGTGCTAGGGACCCTATCTGCTCCGGTTTCGCTGCATCCAGTGGATGGGAAAAGTTCCTAGCTGTGTACAGCTTCCGGGTCCGCTTCGGGAACTTCAACTTCAGAGGGAAGTTTCAATTGTACCGCGGCGATGCTACGGCTCGGGTTGTCCAAGTAAACGAGCGGCCCCGTTCAAACTAGACGTCCCCGAAATGGGGAGATCGATCTAGCGATCGATCGTTCTCACCTTGCCGAGGGCCGAGCAGAATTGCAAGATCTGATCGGTCTCCGCTGATCGTTCCCTGGGGTCCATCATTCTTGGCAGGAGTCCGCGGATGATTTTTTCAATCATCTGAGACCGCTTCTCTACCATGGAACTCTGAAACAAGGACAAGACGCGTTGATGAGTCTGTAAATGTTATCACTCCACCTATCGCATAAAGTGATAATCCTGACTAGACCCAGATATACAAAGTGATGGGAAATTTTCATCGAATTGCCTCATAAAAGATCATTAGTCATGAGGATGTTGCTTACGAGTCCTCGTATAGAACTCATATCTGCGGGACACAGTGATGAACCAGAAGTACTTGAATATGATACAAAGTTAAGGTGATATGAAAGGGTCACTCTATATATGTGCCCATAATTATGAAAGTGGTCTAAGTCAAAATTGAAAAAAAAAATGAGTTCATCAGTTGATTTCACGCCACATTATTTCAAACTGAATTAATTCAATGTAATTTCGAAACAAAAAATATATGACTTAGACCACTTTCATAATTATGGGCACATATATGAAACGTAAAAATATTTATAAAATTTTCACACCTATCGCATAAGATGGTAATCCTGAATAAGCTCAGATAAACAAAGTGATGCAAAATTTGCAGTGCAAATAAGATCATTAAATGAGTCATGAGGGTGTTCCTTATGAGTCCTCATTTAGAACTCATATCGCGGCACACAATGACGAACCAGAAGTACTTTAACATGAAACAAAGTTATATTCTTTTAGGCAGAAAAGTCGACGCCGGATTTGCCGGTACGTATGCAAATGGCCGTACTCGCACTCGGTGATCTGTTTACAGATCGGAAGAGTAAATTGTTATTCCGGCTTGATTGACAGCCTCGAAAAGTAGGTTTTCAATCTTCCGCGAAAGCACTTCTTCGAAGTGCTCTACGCGTCTCCATTTGTCTTCTGGCAAAGGATTTGTTATCTACTCCGAGGTAAGCTTTTCAGTCGAAACTCCGGAGCTCCGTCAGCGAATCGCAATCTGCCGGACAACCAACGCGAATGGCCCTATACTTTGTTTTTTGTTTCCCTTGTTGGGCTCGACCAGGTTATAGAGACACCGGGACAAGCGGAACTTTTCGATCCCGAAACTTTCCTCGCCAAGCTGCCAAATGCAGTCAGTTAAAGGACTTTCGCAACCCGGGAAGGTATTTCATCGAATTCCCGCCGTATCGCCTCGTGACAGTTATTAATTATAAATTAATAAGCGTAATTATTCAATTTAATAAGTTCCGCAAAACCGATGGGTTTATTTTAAGCTCCTTAAGCGGGTTAAAGTTTGAAAGAGATTTAATAAGTATAAGAAATATTTGATATCAGGCCTGACTTTATTTCATGCTTTGAGGAGAATTTAAGGTGAAAACAGTTTTGAGATGTTTAACAATGGCAGACTTGTAGAAGTTGGACATTTCTGATTTTCTTCATGATTTTCTTCAATGATAATGGTATGACGTCTCGGAGGGAAAATTTAGTTGGCACGGAAATCACAGATGGCGCGGGGGCACTTTGCAGTCAGTTAGGGCCTCAGAAATGAATTCAAAGGATTTCTGGTATTTAAGAAAACCTTTTTTACCAACGTCGATCAAGTTCCTCGATGCGTTTCACTTCATCTAAGTGTCTGTCAAAGCACAAACGCTAAAGCTCACAATTTTTAGGTGATACGAGAATTCTGAAGAAAGGAATTCGAGCTTCGAATTTTCCACCTCTTGTTACACCACGCCTCTGGATACTAACCCTTTATTTTCTTCTCCCAGCATTTTTCTCGCTGTCTCCATTACTTCGAAAGAGCAACTCGATACTTATGTCTCACTTTCTCGAGCTCCGAGATAGAAACTCCCTTCGGAAGTTTCGCCGATCCCGCGTAATGCAGAAAAAAGTATTTCAATGAAAGAAGGGGTAAAGAGAAAAAGGAAGCGAACGGAAATAAAAATCGATTACTAAATTATCGATGACTCGTGAGACTCGAAGTTTAAAATGGAAAAGTAATAACTTGATGGAACTCGACGTAATGGGAAATACTCGAGAAATATGGGTGATAACTTTTTCAATAAAACTTCACGTTAAATAAGACTCTGTATGTAGATCGTTGAAAAATGTTCTGCCATGAAGACTTTCGTTGGATTAAAACCCGTGGCACGTTTCAATTAAGTCAGATTCATTTGATAGGGAGCTCCTTGGAGAAATATAAATGCTCATTACCATAGGTACCACCCCTAAGTGGTACCACCTCTAAGTGGTACCTTGAATACCCTCTACGGAATCTTCCTCGCTCTTCTGCGGCACTTTAACGGGGATTAAAAAATGGTCATGCGGAATTCAATACTGGATTAATGTTATGTCGTATGTTGTATGTTGACATTTCAGCTCTCTATGCAAACGCAGAGATTGATGTCTCACTTTGCAAAATGCAGTCCGCTTCTATGTGAGTACTGTACCGGTTCGCTTAGATCTCAGTATATTATATTATTGAAATGTACAATTTCCTTGCAACATCAGCTCGCCGTTCCAACCCAGAAATTGACGTCTAGCTTTGCATATTTTCGCGAAATCCCGCCTACTCAGCTTTGCAAACCGCGGAATCGTCGGAAGGCCGCGACAATATATTCGGTCGGGAGCTTTTGAACGGAACTTAAGTGCTCATTATGACAGGAAGCAGCGGGGGTGCCTCGAATATTTCCCGCGGAAGCTTTGTCGCTTCCCTGGCAGCAGTTATCGGGACTTGAAAATGGATGTATGTCGTTTTGGAGCAGTGGTTATGACGTTGGCCCAGCCGTCAGCGGTGCGCTTCGCGGCTGTTCGTTTTCCGCGGAAAAACAACTCGACCCAATTCGATCGCGGCTTGCGGATGGCTAGAGGGTTCGGCCACATTCAGAGCCGGCAATAATGAGAACGAATCTCCCAAGTTTTCCCCATCGATATTCGGTTAGTTCGGCACTTCGTCCGCCCTCGAGGTCCCATCTCTATTCCGCCACCCCTGGGCCCTGCCACTCGGGTTTCACGTCTTTCCTTTTTTCCCTATCACCTTTCCGTCCCGTCTCGATGTCCTCCTTCTCTGCCCTTCCTCCTTTCGTTCTTGCTTCGACTTCCAGCCTTATCACCCGCGAAGTTTCCGTCCCCTCGGCTATCGATCGATTGTTCAAACGGAATTCATGAAACGAGTCTAAATTAATATCACGTTTGAAATAGGAATTTTTTTATTGTTTACTTAACATTTCAAGAGCCGATTGCCCTAACTGATTAGTGGGATTTTTTTTAACTTTGATTAGTTAATCTTAAATCGGGGCAATTTCTGAATCTTTTTGTTTCGACTTCGAGCCTTATCACCCATGAAGTTTCCGTCTCCTCGGCTATCGATCGATTGTTCAAACGGAATTCATGAAACGAGTCTAAATTAATATCACGTTTGAAATAGGAATTTTTTTATTGTTTACTTAACATTTCAAGAGCCGATTGCCCTAACTGATTAGTGGGATTTTTTTTAACTTTGATTAGTTAATCTTAAATCGGGGCAATTTCTGAATCTTTTTGTTTCGACTTCGAGCCTTATCACCCATGAAGTTTCCGTCCCCTCGGCTATCGATCGATTGTTCAAACGGAATTCATGAAACGAGTCTAAATTAATATCACGTTTGGAATAGGAATTTTTTTATTGTTTACTTAACATTTCAAGAGCCGATTGCCCTAACTGATTAGTGGGAATTTTCTTAACTTTGATTAGTTAATCGTGAATCGGGGCAATTTCTGTTGACAAAGATTAACCTAACCGAAGATTAAGAGACATTAACCGGTAACCATCTAGAATCGCATTAATCACGGGTTAAGTAATTGATTAAGGATTTTAACTCGGATGTTGGGGCAACTGGCCCTTAATTGGTACACGTATACCAACATCATATAAATCGCATTATCACAGGTTAGGTAATCACTAATTAAGTTAAGTATTCACGGGTTAAGTAAGACGCGCACCTATTGCGAGGAATTTTCATAAACGTAATTTTCACAGGGGTTGGAATAAATTCATTTCGGTTTAGCCTAATTACTTTCCCGTCGAAATTAGGGCATCCGAAACCACTAACTGAATCCACCTTTTGGCTGGTCGTTGTTCAAGAGACATGCAAATTTCTGCCCTGTAGGTGCCCGGGATCGTTACCAAATCGGATCGGTTTGGTAATTGTGGTAACGCACCAGACCCGCTAACGAGCACTTAATTACATACAACACGAGGTGTTTCACTCGCAGTTCATAAACGTAATCTCGCCCAGCCGTACTGCCGCGAATTATTGCGTAATTCCTGTATCGCACCTCGTTATATGAAAGTTAATTACCTTGCGAGGCTCAACTTTTGCAGGAAAAAGGTTCAATGAAAAGTACACGATCTCGTTCATTGAAAGTAACGACTCTTAATAGCAAAAGAATAAGGAATTTTTTACCTCATTCTGTTAATCATCGTTCCTATGTAGTAGTATAAAAATGAATAAACGCAGAACCTTTTGCCGTAATTCTGTTATGGTTTAATTACTTTGTTTAGATTCTAATTTCCGTGTTCATCAGGAAGAAATCGGAAAATCAGAAAGTATTGCTTTATTATCTCAGAAGGCAAAAATAAGGTATGCCGAGTTAATTGATCTTTCGTATTGGGAATTTTGCACGGATTTTATTTCATTTAATTTTTAAAAGGACAAGTCTTGGGACGATCAGCTGTTTTCATTCAAATATAAGCTAAGAATAAAAACGCGATTTACTGGAAAAGGCTAAAGGGACGGGAAATAAATCGAGCGATACAGCGAAGAGAAAGAATAATTTCCGCGACATCTTCAAGGTAATCGTCCGTGGAAATTTGAAATCTCGATACGAGAACGCTCCAGTTCGTTTTACGATTTCGCCCCGTCGAAACAGAACGGAAAGGAAAATAATGTCTGCTGTGTAAATCGCTAGCCATACGACGTTAATTAGGATTTTAGTAATGCTTAAGTATTCTGTAAAATAGTCACGATAAAATGGAGACTATCCTGTGATAACATTCCATTTTATTCGTGTCCTTTCTCAAGCCGTATTACTTTCCTAGCACGAAGCTCTACTTTTCT